GTGCAGATTATTCGTCTCCTGCTAATATCCCTAGAAATCAGCACCAGACCTGGATCCAGCAGCTTTGTCTGTAATTACAGAATCACAGAATCATTAAAGTTGGAAAAGACCTCTAAGATCATCAAGTCCGACCATTATTAAAGCTCATTTACAAAGCAATTATTCAAAGCCTTGATCCAGACATTTTGGACAGAGAGGATTTTGTTTCCATGAGATTTTTAAAGCTTTTTAAAGCTTTGTCCAAAAGACTCTTCACACTTCCTGCACAAGGATACCCTACCCCAACCACCCCAGCCACAACCACCTGAGCAGGAACCAGGACATGGATTATTTGATTTCATATTCTGCAAACAGGGAGGAACTGGCATCCCTAACTGGGTGACCGTGTGGTCCCACCCAGGCTATGATGCTCTGCATGGAATTAGCAATGAGCCACATGAGGCTCCATAAGGAGTTAGCAAAGATGTTCCACAAGGGATTAGCCATGGTGCTCCATGACAGCTCAGCAGTGGGATGCTTTGGATTATTGGGTGGTGGAGAAGCAAGAGCCAGCCCTGCAAGGGTGCAGCACATGGAGCCGTGTCCCAGAGGAACATCCCAGTGTGGGGGTACCTACACGAGCTGTGTGGCTCCCCAGCCCACGGCCTTGGAGGCAGAGATCAGCCCTTCGGTCCAGCGAGAGTTCTTGGCATAAAATTCCTGAGTTGTTGCTGCCCCCTGTTGTTATGAGAATATTACAGCCTGGATTAACTTCTGTCTAATACACAACAATACAGAAATCCATATAAAATATCTGTATAAAGTATAACAATATATAAATTCATACATAAAACCATAAACCAAGGCATCGACAGCATTTCTGTGCACTTTATGCTGCTCTTACTGACCTGCTTAAATATTTATCAAGACAATCAGTGTTGGAGCCCCACGCCTGCAAAGTTTGGCTGGGTTTGTTTTAAACCACCGAAGTTTGGGCCATAATCTTTAGATGGACAAGGTTTTGCAAGGGCAATAATAATAATGTGTGCAAAGAGCACAGGGCTGAGCAGCCCATCTCTAGCAAGGCACTGCCAGAGTGCTGATAACATGGGAAACCAGGAAATCCAGAGTGTTTCTGCAAACTGGGGGAAATTCTCCTGTATTTCATGCCTGTGCAGAGAGATGAGGGGAAGACTTACCCGGCCACTTTCTACTATCTCCTTCTGTAGGTTTGTAGATGTTGTTACGAGAAGCCTGATAGCCTGGAATGAAGGAAAACAGGCTTTGGTGTTTGACAGGGGTTTTATAGAGAAGGATTGATGCTGCCAGTGGTGGCAAGTGACAGTTTTGTGCAGTCTTTGACAGCCCAGACTGGTTCCTGCAGTACTGACCTTCATTAGATCCGTGCAGGAGTTCAGAATCCTGCAGGGAAACAAGAGAAAAGTGTTCAGCATCCCCTGACACCGCATCCAGGGAAGGGGGCTTTGGTCTCAGTTAGAATGTGGGTCTTTTTTGGAGACCACCCAGCCTGGTTTGGAGCACACTCCAGCAGGGTACAGGCATGGGACACAAACCTGCCTGTGGCCATCACACGTCACCCCTCAAAACTCACCGCTCGTTCACTTCCAGCTTAACACCAGAGCTCTCATTCCTGGCCTGGCTCATCATCTCCTGTTGGGAAACACAAGAGGAAGGGTTGGACGCCACGCTGCTGTGAGGGTGAGCAGGGTGGAGGAGTGATGGACACTCTGCTGCCCCAAGGCACTGAAGTGGCCCATCCTGCAGCTTCGTCTCACCTCTATCCGCCTGACGGCATCCTCGATCGCCTCCGAGGTGGAGGCCATCTCCTTCTCAACCATGTCCCCCAGCTCTTCTTGCTTGATGTCTAAGCTCTTGGGCCTCAGCTCCTGCCAGAGGAGGCAGCAGGCATCAGCAGGTTTTAGACAGAAGGGAATATTTATAAGGAATAATTATAAACCAAGGTATCCAACTCCCTTTCCCCCTCTCCCCAAATAATTAAAGGTGCAGGAGCAGCATTCTGCAGCCTGCAAGGGTGAAGGCACAGGTGTCACCAACTTGCAGCAAACATGGCACAGGATCTCAGAGGTAAGAAATGCCCCAAATCAAAGTGACAAAACTCCATCACAGGAGCAGTTTTGGCTCCAGAGGGTCCTGGAGAGCTGACAGCCTTTGAATTAACAGTGGAGTATGGGAAAAGACTAACAGAGGCTTCACGAGAAGAAATATCTGAAAGTTGGGAATTTTTGTTCCACAGGGGTTACTGGGCTGAGAGACTTCAGCTGATCTGAGGGTGACGGGCTCTGGGCACCACCAGGAAGGGTCTCAGCACTCAGAAGCTGAGATGGCTCAAGGACAGCACCAGAACCTGTGGGTATGGGAGCAAACCACCCCACAGTGCTCCCTCCAGCCAACCCTTTCAGCCACGAGCAGGAAGGCGGGTGCACTGGGCTCCATCTCCTACCTGGGCCAGCTGCAGGACTCCCCTCAGCGCCCGCCGCACGTCCCCCAGCTCGGCACGGCCCAGCCTCTGCCTGTCCTTCAGCTCGCCCAGGTAGTCCAGGCTCCGCTGCCCACAGTCCCGGCACATCTCCGTCAGCCCTGGGGAGAGGAGGGGTTGGTGCCAGGCCCCTCACTGGACAAGGGGTCCCTCCACCCCAGCCCTGCCACCCTCCTCCCCTCATCTATGGGGATGACGCTGAGCATCAGCAGCATCCAGCAAATTTCTTCTAGAAGACTATAAATGAGTCTCCAGGAGCAAAGTGATGTCCCTGGCTCAACAAGGGGCACTAGAAAGCAGAGAATGTTGGGAAGGGGAGCACGGGGAGCTGGGAGTATAATGCTGCCCCCGGAAAAGATCTGCCCCATATCCAGCCCCTGGCAGAAGGAGCTTTGGCATGGCCTCCCTAAAAAAAATCCCCCCAACACCCTCTGCACCCCTGCACTCACGGTCGGCGTGGTCTGTGGGGGCCAGGTGGGACGTGGCGCTGCCGTTCACGATGGTGTCGGCCGTGAGGTGTGCAAAGAGGGCCAGGGCCCCCACCAGCCCTGCGGCATCTGCTGGGACAGGACGGGGTCAGGCACTGCAGCCCCTCCTTGAAGGCACTCAAGAATCAGCACAAGAAGTTAGAGAGGATCATTATTGACCTCTCCAGCTCGAATGAACACATGGGAACCCACCACCCCCACCATGTCCCTCTGTCACCAGGGCATTGCCACCTGCCAATGGCCCTGCAGCAGCCGGGGGCTGCTGGATGTATGGAAACACGAGCAAGCTGAAGCAATTCCACCGGGCCCCAGCCCCAGGTACCTGCCATGGAGGCCACGTACTGCGCGTGCCCGTTCTCCAGGGCGTCCGTGGACTCCAGCGCCGCCTGCGCCCGGCTCAGCAGGTAATCTGTAATGAATCCAGCTTCGTTAGCACGGCCAGGGTGATGAGGGGCTGAATGAGCACGAGTGCTGACTCCACTGAGTGGGAGCCGAGACAGCTCAAGTCGTCATGACCCTGGTTGGGGAACAGCACTAAAGCCCGAGCAAAACGGTGCTGAGATGAGAGTTAAAAATTCATCCTGGGAAGTCTGACCCCAATCTCCTTGGGCACAATGATAAAAATGCCTTGGGAAAGCTGAGATGCAACATTATCTGTCCTGAAGGGAGAAGGGACGGTGTGTTTTTGCCCTACCTGGGGAGCTGGTGCAGCGGATGTGCAGTGGGTCATCCAGCTTGGCCACGGCGTCACGGAGGATGTCCTCTGCCTCCCGCACCGTCTCCTGCAGGATGCTGAACTGCTCGTCCAGCAGCTTCTGCTGCAGGTTCTGCTCCTGGTTGCTCTGTTGGGCAGGAGGAACAGGTGAGTGGCACAACTGGGACACAGGACTCCCATCACCAGCATTTCCCTTTTCCAGGATTAGAGCCAAGCATCCCATTACTGCTGCTGCAAGTGATATCCCACCGGCTACATCAGTAATGGCTTGGCTGAGCCCCCCAACTCCTCAGCATCCCCCAAACATGTCTCACCCTGGCAAGTAGAGGAGCAGTGGGCTCTTCACACAGCACCTACCTTCTCCAGGAGCCTGCCCTGGAGCTCTCGGATCTCCCTCGTGGCCTTATCCGCCTCCTGGCTCAGCTGCAGCTCCTTCTCCTCGATGAGGCCACGTGTGGACAGCAGCTCACACTCCTTCTCGCTCACCGACCGCCTCAGCACCTCCTTCTCGGCATGCAGGGCCTCCACCTGCGCACTGAGATCCACACCTGCCTGCCATGGGGCCAGGACAGCCCTGTCACTCACCTGTCACCACACTGTGATCCCAACAGACACCTGAGGACACACCCTGCTTATGTCACTTATGAGCTGGGCCCATGTTCAGCCCTGTGACACCACCTTGTGCTGCTGTTGGACCTCTGGCTCAGCAGTGGCAGCCAGAGCATTGTCCTGCATGACAGGGGTTTGTGATGGGGATCTGGGCTCATCCTAAGCCCTGTACCTGCTTGGCCTGGCTGAGCGAGCGCTGCGCCTGGTCCAGCTCATCCCGACGGGCATCCAGCTCCTGCCGCAGCTGCTCCATCTGCACACTCTGGTCTTCCAGCTGCAACCACACCCCGTGTCAGGGGCTCAGCCCCTGCGAACACGCTCTGGCCCCGGCACACAGCCGGGATGGCAGGAACGATACCAGCCACATTTTGCAGGGTAGGGGTTTTGGGGTCTTAGGTGTGTGGGGGGGTGTCTCCTGGAAGGGCTCCTTTCCCCAGAGCAGGAATTTTGGGAGCAGCCACCAACTTGGGACCCAGAGAAGGAAGGCACCCAAACCCACCAATTTGCACTGAGGCATTTTCTTGGTGGAAGGAAAGGCAGATTTGGGCAAGCGGGAATGAAGCACGTATTAAACAATGCCTTCCTGATGCCAACTTCTTCCTGGATCAGGGACTGACATCAACAACGACCCCTAGCCCCTGCACCCAAACTGAGCACAGCTACTGTGTTTCCCCGGCTGGGAAGGGCTCAGTGCTGGCAGGGAAGCAGGGAAGGATCCAGAGCTGTGCCAGCTCACCTTCATCTCGGCCTCTCGCTTGACCTGCTCCACCTGAAATGCCAGCTGCTCCTTGACACGTGCCACCTCCTCCTGGCTCTGCTGCGTGACTGTCAGCTGCTTGGCGGTGTCAGCATTCTGTGTGGGGACAGGGGGGACCCTCACCATCGCCACACTTGTTCCAACCAAACACTGGCTTAGAGGATAACTTCAAGATGCCTTTCTCACAGCACCCAGAATGCTGACTGTCAGTGGACATGGATTTAAGGGGTGCCTCCCCAGCTATGCTCAGAGTTCCCTGGGATACAGGGGGCTCTGGGCAGGTGGGAGCCGCCCCAGCAGTGGCAGAGGGACCAAAGCAGTGTCATTCCCTGCCTGCACAGAGCATTACCTTCCTCAGGAGCTCGGCGTGCGTGTTGATGAGCTCACTGTGCTTCTCCTTCAGCTTCGTGTAGCGGATCTCGGTGGCATTGGCTTTCTCTGCAGGGGTGAGAAGCCCCTCAGTAGCCGTGGCACAGGCGGCCCACGGCCGATGGGCACTGCAGGGCACCTACTTTCGGCTTCGGCGCAGAGCCGCTGGGACCTGTCGCTGTCCTGCTTCACCCTCTGCAGCCTCTCCAGCTCATCCCGCAGCTGCTCGTTGTCCACCAGCGCCTTCTGCTTCTGCTTGCGCTGCTCCTCCACTTCTCCCTCCAGGCTGTTCACCTGTGCCTTGAGCTCTGTGATGTATCGCTGTGCCTGCAGGACACCAGCATCAGGCACTGGGGCATGGCCCTGAACTCATGCCCTCCCCAAAAACCCTATCCAGGTACCCCGCTGCAATTTAGGCAAAGCAGCCGCGGGATGCACAGGAAAGCTCTCCTGTTTGTCCCTGCAGCTGCTCTGTCCCCGCTGATAAAGCTGGTCGTGACAGCAAAGGACAGGTCTCACATACCTCCACCCCATCTCCATCAGGAGTCAGGTCCTGGCACTGGGAGAGGTCCTAACTCACAGTGCTGGGCGTCAGGACCCCACTCCCGCTGCATCCCCTTGGGGTTTCCACTGCATTCCCCCCACCAGCTACTCCCCAGCCGGGCTTTACCTCCAGTTTGATCTTCTCCATCTCCGCACGGAGCGTGTCCAGCTCCTTCTTCAGGCTCTCGATCTGTGCGTCCCTGCAGACACAGGCAGGTTGGTCCCACGCGGTAGGGGCCACTCCCCTCCGCCACCGCCAGACCCCCTCATACCTGTCATCCCAAACGCCATTGGGAGGCCCAAAGGTTTGCTCAAATAGATCCGAGGTGATCTGGGGAAGACAGAGGCTGCTGAGCTGAGCCAGGTTATGGGTGCCTGTCCCCGCTATCCGCCCATCCCTGCGTCCCCATTCCAGCCCCGTGCCCCCACCTGTGGCTCCGTGGTGGAAGTTGTGCTGATCTCAATGAGATTCTCTGGTTCGTCATCCTCAGGGGCTTCCTCAGGGATGACGACCACTGGCTTCACGTGCTCAGCCAGTGCGGATGCCCGCAGGAAGTTTGGGGGGCTCTGTTGGGACAAGAAGTTGTGGTATCACAGGGGGTTTTGGGAACTGCAGGAGGCAGAGTGCCAGGGAAGGGAGGCAGCCAACCCTGTGCTGCTGATAGAGCCAGCAGGTCCCTCTGCAGTGTCCCCAGACCACAAACCCACCCATGGGGACACCCCCATGCACCCTGAACCCACACGATCTCCAAAGTATCACCAACAAGCACCACCCCAAATCCTGCCATACCTCCGGCAGCCGAGGGATCTGGATGAGCCGCTTGAAATACAGCATGTCGGATGCTCTCTTAAAGAAGTTTTTGAGGCTGGAGAGAAGGGAAAGACAAACTGTTTGCAGGGGAGGGGGTTTGGCAGGAGGGAAGGGACCCCATCGCCCCACCTTGGCCCCGGATTACCTGCGGAACTGCTCATGGAAGCGATCCCGGTGGCCCTGCAGTGTGTCTGCCGGCAGACCTGGGAAATGGGGGACGGCCGTGACTGATCTGGGGCTGCACATGTATTCACATGCACCTGGAGCCCTCCGCTGCAAAAGCCAGCAGGATAAAGGCCAGGTGGGAGCGGGATGTGAGGCATCAGTGTGGGAGTGAGGTATCCCCATCCCTGGCACAGGGACCAGGGATGTGGTGCAGGGAGAGGTGGGTGGGGGAACCACAAAATACCCACACAAGGCCACTGGCGCTGCGCTGCCCAGCAATCCTGTGCAGAGGGCTGGCAGGCCAAGGCACATGAGTTGGAATTAATCAAGGACAAGTCCTTCTAATTCCTTTATCTGGAATGTCTACATGGGACAGAGCAAGCCCCTAGAGTCCAGCTGGGACATGGCGATGGATGCCTCAATCCATGCAAGCCTGATCCCCAAATTCAGAAGCCCAACTCTGGAAAAGACCAGCATGGAGCATATCCCGGGACTCACAAGAGTGCAGCTTGAACATTAACTTGACGGAGTAGTGGTAGAGGTGGCTGCAGTCCTGGATGACCTGGATGAGGGGGGCCAGGCGGCACTGCACCGCCGACATCTGTGACACGGCCATCGACGTGTTGAGCTGCCTGAAAACTGAGGGGTTGAGCTGCGTGAGGCACCGGCGCCGTGTTTGCAGAGCCGGCCCCCTCCCGGCCACTCCGCTTGATCATTAACCACGGCGGATGTGGCTTTGCCGGGACACGGGGAAAACACCAGCGTTGCTGCCCGTCTGTCCCGCTGAGCTGGGAACAACCTTCCCCCACCAAGGAAGACAAACACCCAAAGGGACCATGGTGGCAGAGAAAAGGGGTGCTCAGCTCTGCCCTGATCCCAAAAAGGAGGGATTTAATCCCGGGACGCTGCCCTTGAGCTGATGCAAATAATGCAGCTGGAGGAAGTGAGAGGTTTTGCTCCATTCTATTTAATCATGAGAGGATCTAGGAGAGGATCCCAGGGCAGGGGACGAACTCGCCGGCGCCGCAGCCTCGCCTGCCCCTGCTCAGAAACAGATCCCTTCCCCTGGCAGAAATCCAGGCATATCCACCCCGGCTTCTTCCCCGCTCAGCTTTAAAGTATTTATGAATATAAATTCTCTGTATAACTGGGTCAGGAGGAGAAGCAGGAGGCTGACGGGAGCCGGGAGCACAGTCTTGCCTGCTGTGCCCTGTTTTCCAGGGCAGCTCCGTGTTCCTGACTCTTGACAGAGGAAGAATCCACCACCTTTCTAAGTCATCTAAAAACTCCTGGAGAAGGAGGCGAGAGATGCAAACATGGGCAAGGGCCTCCAGCCCTCCCTGAAGGCATTTCAGTGAGAGGAAATGAGCCTTTAGAAAGAGGTACAGCCCCATCCTCTGCTTCTAGGGGATAGAAAGGATTTGGGTAATGCATATGATTAATGTGGCTGTACCAAAAAGAAATAAAAACATATTTCAGAATGGCACACTCTGCATTGCTCAGGTGGGCTCAAACCAGCACATTCCTTAAATATTTTCCTACAACTGCCCCTACAGAGCATCAACCAGGGAATCCAGCTCAGAAATCTCATGGGAGAAGGAGGAAGGACTGAAGCCTCCAATCTCAGCCTCCCGGAACTTTATTCCCGACCAAAGAGCGAAACTATTGCTCAAGAGCCCTGGGGCGAGCGGGAGGGACCTGCCGCCTCCTCACCTGACTCTGACAGCTTCAGCTCACAGTCCAGGTAGTCAAACAGCTCAACCGTCAGCTGGAAGCTGCCAAAACAAACCAAAACTCCATCACTCCGTGGCAGAGACATCCTTGCTCTGGTTGCTCGAGTTCACTGAGGGTCTTCATGATGGCAAGGGCTCCAACTGGGGGTTTTGCTCCCTGCATTTACACCCCTCACCACTCTGCAGGTGCCAGGACACTCACATGTTGTTCACATCTGTCCCTGCAGTCTTTTCCAGCACCTCATCCGACACTTCCAGGCCCGGGGGGAACTCAGGGTGCTTTGGAAAAGGAAGAAAAAATGCATCAGTTGCTGCTCATATTTTTGCTGGTGCAACATATCCCCCAGCAAAGCCACATTCCCCCAGTACAGCAGGTGAGAAGGTGGCAGAGGGTCTCACCTTGACATGGAAGGAGATCTTGGTGAGCAGGAGCCGCGTGTAGATGCTCACCAGCTGCCCATATCTGTCGTGCAAATGGCCCTGTGGAGAGACAAGGGGAAACATGGAGAACCCAGATCCAGCAGAGTCCACACGTGCCAGTGAACCTGCACCAGCCCTACGGCTCTTGTGCCCTCCACCACGGACACAACCATCAACCCATAGGAGCAGAGACAACGGGGTATCTGAGGTGGTGCTTTACCCTCTCTGTGCCCACAATGTCACTCAGCATTCACTTCCCGACCCCCTGGGAGGCACAAACCTCCACTTCATCCCACTCACCCACAGGTCTCCCGTCTCTCGGATGTTGCTGCGGTACCTCTGGCAGTCCTGGAGGACCTGGGGGCAAAAACAGGAGGGATGTGGCACAGTGGGGCTGGCACAGGCCAGCACCTGCCTGTCTGCCGTGACACTGGGAAGAGGATGGATCCAATCCTTACACCACTCCAGCTTTGTGAGAACTTCCAGCCTTTCAATGGCACCCAAAGGTCGGAGCTTTGTGCAGGGAGGTTTCAAAGGTGCGAGATAAGAGTGCCCTCACAGCCCCACAGCTTAGGAAAGGTGTCTGGGACAGGGAGGGGAACCCATCCTCTGGGCAGAGGGACATCTCAAGAGGCAAAAATTTCCCCCACCAGCAAAGCAGGAGGGATGTTCCAGAGGGGACACTCACATTGGGGTGTCCGTCACGCAGGACCTTGTGCAGGACATGGCAGAACTTCCAGCTGAGGATGGCGCTGCTGGGCAGGGGCAGCCCGATGGCGTAGGACCAGAAGGTGAACGCTCCCTTCTCGTGGTGTGTGCCCAGGATGATCCCTTCCCTGCAGTCAAGGCCAACTGGATACACATGGAGCAGGGCACAGGCTGGGCTGGGGACTGTTCAACTTCCATTAAAAAGGGGACACACACTGGGTGCACAGAGATCACCAGTGCGATGCTACACCCACAGATATGACACCCATTTATATTTTTCTTGCACCTCCCCCTGCCCCAGGGCACACCAGGACCCTCTGCTTTTTATTGCCAAGGAATCACAATTTTATAGGCTCTTGTTTGCCTTTTCATTGATGGATGAACCTACATGATGCCACCCCTCAGCCAAGCTCTGTGTGGGTCTTCTACCTCCCAAACCTCCATGGCCCCAAACCCCTCCTGCCTCGGCCCAGGATCTCCTCTGTGCTGTCCAGGAAAGGATACGGCGGGCATGTTTCTCCTTCACTGGTGCTTCCTGTGTGTTTATGGCTTTGCTGATGCTGATGGCCTGCAAGAGGAGGGGAGAGCAGCTGTCAGACATGGTGTGACCCCCATGGCTACCCCATCCCCCCCGAAGCACAGTGCTGGTGCTTTTGGGGAATACCCTGGATTTTAGCACTCACAGGTCACCTTAAAGTCATTTGCGACACATCAGAATAGGCTTCAGAATAGGCTTTTTTATCCTCAAACAAAGCAGCCCATGAAAATCCCCCATCCCCAGCAGGATCTGTCAGAATCAGGCCCCTCCCGCCCGCACCGCTGGTGCTCCCGGCTGTCCCTGTCCCAGGAAACCAATTTTTGCATTTTTGCAGCCTGAACTCAGCGCCGTGCCCCGGGAACATTAAAGCACGACAGCGAGATGCCAAATTCCAGGGTTGTTTGTGTAATCACAAGGAGCCTTTGAACCAAGGGGGGAGTGGTTTGGGGTGTTCGGCTGCACATGGGGAAATGCAGCCCCCAAGCAAGGAGGGAGTGGCGGCCACAATGCCCATCTTGATGGAGCAGAAATCCAGAGCAATGTGATTAGTGGAGGAGGATTATCTATATTTTGATGTGTTTGATCACAGCACACTTTAAATTATTAATTTATTCCAAAAGATGACCCTAGACAGGGGTCGGTTGTGTCTCCCATGTTGATGATGGGCTACAAAATGGAATTGCTGTGTTTGATGAGGATCTTCCTCCTCCTCGCCAGGTCCCTGCAGACTCAACTGAGCTGCTTCACCCTCGCAGGAGCACTTGGACTGTGCCTGTGTCCATGAGCCCTCTGTCTCCAGCAGAGAAAAAGGTCCCAGCTGGGAAGGCAGGAAGCAACCCCGCCACCAGCATTCATGCCAGAAGAGAAACTCAGTCAATCCCTGCAGCCCCACAGCCCTAAAACCTTATAAAAATCTCATCTACCCTCCTGGGGAAAGCACCTGCTTCCATACAGCTGCTTGTCCAGGGATGCCTCTGAACTGAGGCACTTTCCTGTAGGAGGAGGAACTCGATGCTGAGTTATCAAGTGCTCCTGACTTATGCAGGAGGAACCTGATGCTGTGCTGAACGGGTGATGCCAAAGGTGTCAATGCACCAAATCCACCCCAAAAGAGTCTAAAATGGCTGTGCCCATGAACTGGCCAAAATCACCACAAATGCAACCTAAAAAGTGAGCCTGTTCCAAAACTGTTCCCCCAGCTGCTGAGGGAAGGAGCTGATTTTGCTTTTCCTGCACTGGGAGAGCCCCGGTGTTACCCCGCCATGTGGGGCCATAAAGCAGCAGCAGAGTTAAGCTGGTGACTTGCTGTAATCCTCTTATCCCTAAAGGTTAACGAGCCTGGAGAGCCCAGGAACAGGGAACAGGCACTTGCAGCACAGCTGCCTCTCCTGAAGTGCCTCCACAGCCACCTGAAAGCCTGGAGCCAGTGGAGAGGCTGCGCCCTCAACTACAGCTCAGCCAGAGAGATGTGCCACAGGTCCCCAGGGTGCCAGCACCTCCCAGGATGACACCAAAGTGAGGGTTATTGACAGAAAGGAAGGTTTATCAGGAACCGGGGAGCGACAAGGCGAAAGTTTTGCAAGGCAGGGCTTGGAAATGCATCTTGCAGCGAAGAGCTGCTGAAGGGGTTATTGCATTTATTGAGGTGCTTTGCATGGGGGGTGTGGGGCAGACACAGCTCTCAAACCTGGATTTTTGCTGCCTGCCATAAGCAGAAGTAGGACAATGCACTTGAACCAACCCATCACACTCATCCCAACCCATCACACTCGTCCCAACCCACAGGTGGGACCTGAGCCCCACAGGTGGAAGGGCCAAAGTGTGAGACAAGGGAGACCCCCAGGAAAGAAAACATTGTCCCATATGCCCAGGGACAGGAGCTCAGCTGCTCAGTGGGATGGGACCAGGGCTGGGACCCACTGGCTTGTCCCAAAACCGAGCTGTAATTCCTGTTGGTGCTGGTGGGTTTATTGGGTTTATTGCCCTTAATCTCATTTCCAGACCAACCAGCCAAAAATTCAGCCTGGGAGCTGTTGGACAGGCTGGTTTCATCCTTGGTGATTCAGTGCTGAGGTTTCATTGAGCCATTTTACATCCAGCACATGGACTGGACCCGTGCAGGGGCAGCCCCAGCCCACTCACAGCACTGCCATGACAGAGACACCATGTCCAGCATGGTCCTAAATAAACCACAGCAGCACTGAACCAATGCCAATTCCTCAGGATTGCTGTATCAGTTGTGCTTCCTCTGCCTCCAAACATCAGGTTGGTCAGGAGATACATGAAATTGGGATGGTGGGACCAGTGATGGGCATGGGGCAATGCTGCAGCCTGGGACACAGGTGTCTTCAGGATGTCCCTGCTGGCTGCAGGGCTCTGAAACAGGGAGATTCACCCTTGATCTGACCTCTTGAGACACCACCAGCACGTCCGGCGATGGGCAGGACCCTGCTGTCACCGCAGGTGCACAACCAGCCTGGCCAAAACTTTGATGCAACCTTGTGGACTGTTCCCCATCCCTGACCGGGAGCGGTGCAGCCCCAGCCCCGCCGGGGGTGGGAGTCCAACTCCAAAACCTGCCGGGCCGTGGGCTGTGGGAGCCCACAGGGTACAGCCCTCACTCCTTACTCACAGCCCTCACGTACCAAGCCGGTGACTAAAGCTGGGATCAAAGCGCCCAAATGAAGGAGCACAGTTTACATCCACCCTTTCTTTCCAGGCTGCTTTTAATTAAGGCTGATCCTCCCGCCCACGGCTCCCCGAAGCCCCGGCATCCTGCGGGGCCACAATCCCCACCTGGCAGGTGGATGCCGGGTCCCAAGGCAGGGAGAGATTTTTCTGGCAGCAGGATGTTGAGCTGGAAACCTCCCTGGCCAGGCGGCACGAGGGCTGTCAGAACACCTGAACTAGAAACGGCTGCTCCGGGGTTCCCTTCCTAACACTGCTCCCTCCCAAATTACACCAAGGAAGCACCACTCGGCAGTCTCAGACAATGTAATCCTGGAACCTTGGGAGCTCGCTGGATTTTTAACATTTTTGTTTCAGAAAAGCAAAAACTGGCAAGTTTTGCCTCCTGCCAGGCTGCCGAGTGGGATGGTGGCTTCCTACTTCCCACACAAGGCTGCTCCAAGGGGAACATCTGAATCACCCCGGCACAAGACCTGGAAAAGCATTTTCAGAGAAAGCAGGAGACCTGCACATCACCCACGAGCACCTGGGGGGTGAGGGGATCACCCTCAGCAAGGTCAGCAACCCCTGTCTGTACCCACAGGCATCACCCTGGCCCTCGCAGGGGAAAACGTGATGGGGCTCTGGATTCCTGCAGCATCCTTCTCCAGGATGGTAAGGGATCCTGGAGGGGATGTGCCACCAGCATCTCTGTGACACAGAAGCGACCTGTGGCCAACTCCACAGCTGCTATAATTAGAGCTAAAAGGCAGATCAATACCCACGTACTGACACTGGAACAGTTCTGCTCTCACTGAAGCACCACTACAGAAACCACACCAAGATAAAGCTCCTTTAGAACAGTTTTTCAGCAGTTGCTGGAAAAAAAGGGTCAGTTCTGGGTGGTGAATGTGACTGTCAGCCAGTGAGCTTGGGGTCATAGAGCTAAAACCTCTAATGGAGAGTGACCACCTCTTTGCCCTGTACACAGCTCTGCCCACAGCACCCCTGGACTGAGCAAAGTTGTAACTGTGCAGGGCACCAGTCCCACTAAAAAGTCCCAAATGCCCTGGAAGGGCAGGCGGGAGGAGGGTGCACGGGGCAGCGCTGCCACCACGAGTCTTTATCAGTGGTGCCCAGTGGGACGATTGAAGGAGACATGTCCAGAGGGAACCGGAATTGCTGGTTTTCTCGTGTTGCTCCCCAAACCCAACAAGCTCCATTTCCTACCCACCCTGACCCTGCTAGGCCTGGAATTCCCACCTGTCTTCACCAGTGCCCTCCTGGGCCAAACCAGCCCAGGGGCCAGGGAAGGGCCAGCAAAGCAAAGGGGCAAAGGGGAAAACACCTGCGATGAATGCACCGCCTGCCAAACCAGAGGGGTCAGAGGATGTGTGCAGAGGGCACTGCTATTTTTGCTGGGACAGCAGCGAGCCCGTCGCTCTGTCCATCCCTCTGCCCATCCCTGCCCACGCTGTTGGAATGATTCATTTCCCACCAGCCATATGCCGGCCCCATCGGTGCCTGAGCATCGCCCACCCTGCAGGGGCCACAGGGCTACGGACACTCCGGCCAAGGCAGACACGACAGGGCACAACCACGTTTGGGCTTTGTTTTAGCTCAGCCACCCCCGTGGGTTCACACACCCCCATCCCCGCGGGGAGACCCCAGAGCCGCGGGGGCCGAGGGGAATCCACCCGCGGTGCCAAACAGCCCCCGGTGTCGTTGCGGCCAGGACCGGGACCGGCAGGGATGCGGAGATGCCCATTCCCGGGGCGGCGGGCGAGGGGGGAGCCCCGGGATGCTGCGGAGCCCCCGACTCGGCCGACACCGTGAAACTTTCCCCGTGTGCTCCGGGCCGTGTTTACCTGCGATAAGGCCCGCGGGGCGCGGGGGGGACGCTCCGGCCGCCCAGGGCCCCGCTGCCCTCCGGGGCGGGGGCGCACGGCGGGGCCGGGCCCGGGGCCGGCGCGGGGGCCGCGGAGCCCACGCGGGACGGTCCCGCGGCCGCGGCGGGAGGAAGCGACGGCGCAGGTGGGGGCGGGGGAGCGCCGGCACCGGGCACGGACAGACGGACGGGCGGACACGGGGCCGGACAGAGGGACGGCGGCCGCGCCGCCCCACCGGGGGGGACCCCCCGAGAACGGGGACCCGCGACCCCCATCCCATCCCATCCCATCGCCCGGGAAGCCCCCGCCTTCAGCGCGCCCCAAGGCAATGCCCTGCGAAACGGGCCAGGACCGGGACCGGGACCAAGACTAGGACTAGGACTAGGACTAGGACCGGGACCGTGCCCTCAGCCGGTCCCGGGGCCGCGCCACCCCCTTCCGCCGCCCTTGCCTGGCTCTTGTCGAACTGCTCCCGCTCCGCCTCCAGGCTGTGCCCGCCGCGGCGGTTCAGCACCCGCGCCGGCACGCTCTTGATGCTGTTCATGGCGGGGCTCCGGGGCTCGGCGCTGCGGGCTCCGCTCCCCGCGCCCGGTCCCGCTCTCCGGGCGGCAGCGACCGGCGCCGCCCCCCCCGCCCCTCCCGGCCGCGCACTGCGCCGCGCGCGGGGGCGCCCCCGGCGGCCGCGCCCGGAACTGCAGCCCCCCCGCGGGCAGGTGCGACCCGCGGCCCCGGGCGGGGACACGGCGGGACACGGGAGGGGACACGGGGAGGGGACACGTCCCCACCGCCCCCGCGGGCACCGAGACGATTCCCCAGCTCAGCGAACACCACACACGGCGGGGACGGCCCCGCGCGACAATCCCCTCTCATCCCTGTTAGCCATCTCCTCCCCTCGCCCAATACACCTGCACACACACACACACGGGGCACGTTAAGGACCCCGGAGCTCCATCGCCACCTTCTTCCCTTTAGGAAAGTCGCGAGCAGAGCACGCATCCACCCTGCGGAAAGGCCGCGGCTGAACAGAAGCTTTGTTGTCTTTAATAATAATTCGGTCCGAGGATACAATAGCAAAGGGGTCCCTGGAGTATTTGAGCTGCTTCCAGAAATAAGGCACCGGGTTTGAAGTGTTTCCATACGATTGTGGTAAATAATGCAGCTGGCTTGTAAGTCAGTCAGTGCTGAATAAATTAACCCCAACATTCCCCTTCTTTCCATTCCACAAAACCAGGGCAGCCCTGACACAAAATCCTAGAGCTCTGCAGATCCTTGTTGCACCACTTGAGCTCAGTTTTCTGTATTGATTTTAAAGCCATCAGTGGGGCATTTTAAACTCACAAGGAGTTTAAACTCAGAATTCATCCAGTAAACTCAAACACATTTAAACCAGAGACCACAGCTCCTGCTTGGAAGTTGCACCAATTTCTCTGTAAAGCTGCTGGGCAGCTTCAGAGTGAGCAGCATGGTATTGTTATCATTGGCTTTTTAGGGGGAATTTTTGTCATAGCCACAGCAGGAGATTCTGAGTATGGAGCCTGGAAAGGTTCTGTACAGGTAGAGGAATAAATGCACTACAAAGGCTTGTGGAAACTGGCAAAGAGATGGAGCAGCTGAGCTTCCCTCAGTCAGCAGCTCTGATCAGAACTGGTCAACTAATTTTGGGGCAATTAGTACCTGAAAGAAAGGCTGTCATCGGGGTAATTAAAGAGAAAGCAGAAAACTACATGAAAGAGTTAACAAGGGGAGTCCATGGAGTGTTGTGTTTCACTGCAATTAATTGGTAGCAGTGGATGCAGCCAGAGACTCCCACCCTTGGCTGCCCCCACGCAGGAAAAACGCTGGCACAGCTCTGGGGACTTGCCACAGGTGTTCCCAACTGCTCCCAACCTGGACAGGACCGACCAGCCAGCTTGTGTCTGTGCTCAGAACCATCAGGAATTAACTACTAAATATGTTGGACAGTGTGTTAAACTGGCAAAAAAGACACAGCAAAGTATCACCTTTATTATCTTATTTGATCTTTTAGTTAAAAAATAAGTTCAAACTGTGATAACAGAATGTGTCTTGCCCAATAGGCAAAGATAAAAACAGGTTAAATGCTAAAAAAAAAGGTCACATGATGCTTGGCTGCTGCTCTACAGTGCAAACAGAGCCCACACACACCTGATCCCATAAACTTTTGCTGGAAGAACCAGCTCCTGAGTGTGAAAGAGTTGTTCTGCCCATGCTGTGGGTGACAGCTCTCCCATTTCAATTCATTTCCCAGTTCCTGCTTACAACACTAATTGGGAACTTCCTATAAACATTATTCATCTCTCTGCACAAGGCAAGAAGTCCAGAACAAAAACAATATACTAACAACAGAAAGAAAAAGCATACTTGGCTGTGTCATACTCTATAAATATTTCTGAGCCACCATAAAAAAATAAAAAGATAAAAAAAATACTTCCTATGTTGTAACAATTACACACTTCAGATTCTTAAAAAACAAGCTAGTGTTCAACCTGAGCTCTCAGCTATAAAAATAGCTTTGTTAATCTTGGCATAATTCTGTGTTTTATTTCAAGATAAAACACATTCCCGCAGAGTCACATCTTTTCACCACTTGTGGGTCTCTCAGACACTCAGAGAATCATGTTAAAAAATGAGGTAACTTTCCATTGTAACTGCTGGGTTGATCTTGAGTCCTCAGAATTACTTCTGTGTTAGAAACTTCTTAATCTACTACAGAAAATTAAAAGATTTTTATTCAAAAGCAGGAACGTTTCCTTTAAAAAATATAAAATATATAAAACAACCACATGTAAAAATACACACATTTTTACACTGCAAACAGAATAAGAACACAGAGTAAAAATATAAACAGGAGAAAGGTAAAAGCACTTTACAGAAAGACACAGTCTCAGGGGTACCAAAGGGGTGTTTGGGAATAAAAGCTTCCCAGTTTGCTTTGTGAAAAGGAGTGATCTTTGTGTCCCTGGCCAGTCCCTGAGTCACCATGTAGAAGCAGTGGCACATGCTATGTTGTCCAAAACTGAATATAGCCCTTTACTCACTGCTTTCCTCAGTTCTTCAACTCTCCCCCACCCAATCTCCCTCTAAAGACAAAACAACTGACTGATGAGAATGGCTCAATCCCTGGCAGCCAGAGAGGAAATTACCCTGATGTTTGTCAGTGCACCTGCCCTCAAATGGTTTCAAAGCAATTTTAAACCCGAACAAACACAACCAAAATCAATTCGGTCACTTCTGTGTATGAAGCTGCACAAATGTTGTTATTTCTGGACCTGCTACCAACTCTGCTTCGGATTTATCCGATCACAGCCATTCAGTGCCTTTTAACACACAAAGAAAATGGGAATTGTGCATTAGGCAGTGACTTGCAGAGTCACTAACTCTTGTCATGGACGTACAGTGGATTGTGGGTGCGTTTGTTCCACCAGTTCTTTCTCACTTGAAGCAAATGGGATTATTTCTGTAGGCTCAGCACACACTCCCCACTCTGCTGCCTCAGCACAGGGCTCAGCACTTTTGGGGATTTGCTCCTGAAACTTCTGAACATCAGTGGTTTCAGGATGCAACTCACAGTGTTGGCTTCAACCTATAAAACCTCCGGCTGCTTTTACCTCAGGGCTCTTTTTAGGAAAAGAGTAGCTCTGCACAGGAGCATTTCAGCATTTCAGCTACTCAGCATCCACCTCCTCCCAGTGCCCCATTAGCTGCACTCCACAGACACGATGGATTTTGGGAGAAGACTCAATGTCTCCAGGCTTAATGCAGGAACAGCAGAACATGAGGGTGCTACAAACCACCCCCACTCCCTGGGGCACAGAGGGTTTGGCTCCACAGGGGAGAAACAGCTCAGGGACTGCAGCTGGAATATCTGAGAGGGAACTGAGTACCAGTTCCCTGCTGGATCGAAGCTGATCTATATGAGAAACCCAGAAAGCCACAAAGCTTCACAACCCAGCTGGCTCTGATACCCTCCCTCTGCAGGCAGGAGCTTGGTTGTGTCAGCACTGGAAGATTTCTTTTTTTTTGCCATTTTTTCTCCTCATTGTTGCTGGTTCTTATTCAGTTTCAAGTGGTGTTCAGGATCTTAACCATATCTGGTTACTCTTTTGTCCTCAGAACCAGACAATGTGGTGCCTATTGCAAGCATCCAATCCACATCAGGGGAACAAATAATCAGAGAGTGAGAAATTTCCTGATTCCAAAAGAAAAAACAATCTGCTGTGGGCAAGGCTGCTTGGGATACTCTGAAACAGCTCTATTCAATACATTCTACTTTTGGGGCTCTGAGCCCAGGAACAATATTCTAAAACAGCCCTTGGCCTTGGCTCTGGAAAACACTTCTCAATCTCTCATTCAACAATGTTCACATCCTTGATCCTGTTATCTGTAACACACAGAAGGGCTTTAACTACAATAAGCAGCCTGCAGGTACTGGGGAATGGAGCTGTGAGATCTGACTGCCCAGAGGATGAGGAACACGCTTGAGGAAAGTTTAATTATTTGACTAAAGGAATTATTTGCTGCCTTAATATCTATTTGCTGTTACAGTACTCACAAGAGTTTTACTGGAAATGCACTTAGAATCCTGTGCCAGGCTCATCTCAGAAATCCATAATGTGTATTAATATTGCAGATGCATTTATAAAAAGAGAAGCAAACAAAGATCAAGTTGAAAACACCTTCATGCTCATGGAACATCATAGAGTTAAGAAGGAAGCTTAGCATCTCTTTCTTCTGCAGCAGATAACTGGCTTTTGTGCAGAGTTTCTGCAAGTTCTGTTGTCTATATTGTAATGCAAAAACCCTACCTGGAAATCAAAGGACTCAGAGAATAGAAATTCCAGAGCTGCCAGGTTCAAGCTGGCATTCTCAATTCCCTCTTCTCCTCCCTCCCCCAAGCAGGGCACAGAATCCAACCCATACAAATTCTTACTGATTAAATTCTAAGGTATTTATTATGTTTTAAAGCTCAGTTTAAAACCGCCCCAGGTAAGCCTGGTTTTAAGCACAGATTAGTTGGCCTGCATAGATTAACTAAAACACGCTTGACGAGTTTTTACCCAGAACTGCTCTGAAAGTAGATCAAAGTTTCACAGATGTGGCTCAGGATCTGCTCCCCCAGTACCCACGAGCCTGCTTTATGTTCTATCCACTGAAGCCCCAGTTCTGAACGAGAAGCCAATTTCCAAGCTCAAAAATGCAGGCTCAGGTTCTAAAGCAGAGTGGCCGAGCTGTGACGTGCCAACCAGTCAGCAGGAGCCAGACAGCTGATGGGGCTGGGCAGGAGCCACAAGCAAGCCCTGTGTTGTAGGGAGCTTTTCAGGAATCCTCCTACATGGATTTGCAAAAGACTAAACTGCTGCTGTCTTCCCTGCTGAATGAAATCCTGCAGAGGAGCTGCTGAACAAAATCTCCTTTCAGTTTATGCAAACGTTGGCACAACAACCTTTACACTCACTCAGTCAGTCCCAGCACAGCGAAGGGTTTATGGCTCTGAATGTTATAAAAATTGCTTTGTCTGTTACTTACAGAAACGTTGTTCTGGTCAAGTTCATCTGAGGCTAAAATGAGTCCAGCATTTTCA